CTAAAAAGAAAAAAGAAAAATAATTAGAAATCCATATTCTAAATTACCGATTGAATGATATACATATTAAATGTTTCTTCCCGGCCCAGGGATTGAACTCACAATTACTAGGTCACAAATTTCACAAAATACCAATTTAATACCCTCGACTATTGATTTTTTTTTATTAAATTATGAATCAAATGATAAACATTCAAATTCCCTCGCAGACATCTGCACTCAAACAATGGATGTCACTTTCTTTTGTAATCAAAGATCACACGAAATGATTGCGTCAGTTGAAATTTACAACTTTTTTTCCGTATATCTGAACTATAATTATCATAATTGTGAATGTCGCTTTCTTAGTTCGTTCGCATGTGATTGTTATATCCTGCCAGTAGACACTACTTGGTTTCAGTGAGAAAGAAGAAAGGGAAGAGAGGAAAGGAAAGAGGAGAAGGGAAGGAAAGAGGAGAAGGGAAGGAAAGGAAAGAGAAGGGAAGGAAAGGAAAGGAAGGAAGGAAAGAGAAGGGAAGGAAAGGAAAGAGAAGGAAAGGAAAGAGAAGGGAAGGAAAGGAAAGAGGGGAAGGAAAGGAAAGAGAGGGAAGGAAAGGAAAGAGAAGGGAAGGAAAGGAAAGAGAAGGGAAGGAAAGGAAAGAGAAAGAATCAGATTATGCTATTCAAAATATACTACACTTTGATCTTAGACAAAAGGCAGAGAATCATGACAACCAGGATAAAAACGCCATTTTTCAGATGTACAGTATCGAACGACAGAAAACAAGTAAGGCACTCTCCAAAAATCGAATTACCATAAATAAAATAACATCGAATTATTTTAAAATTATTATTAAAAGAAATGTTCTTAAGACGGGGATATGGCTGATAGTCTATAATTTTGGAAAGTAAAAATTTCACTGAAATATTTCTATTATTTATATTCGGACTCTTGTCCTCATCTTTGTTGTTCTTATCCCAAAATTCTGGTCGTTTTGCCTTCCTGTCTTCATCAGGTGTGTATATCGATCTCTGGGTCACCTATAGAAAATTCCAAACTGAACCCTTTATTTAATCTATGTGGGTAGACTGTCTCCATATTTTATATCCCCCTTCTGAGTTAAACATTGATAAGCTGTAAGTTCCACTTGAACAGCTTTCCAGGAACAGTTACTTTGTGGAACTAACTTCCCCACATATCCGCATAAACTCTCTTTGTAACCCTCTTCCTTGGGGGATTTCCCGGGCCATGTACAGGATAATCATCATTATAAAAAAAAAAATTGGGTACCCAAGCACAATGTTTACTGTAGTTTCATCAAGTTTCCCATATATTCTGCAAAGTGTACAGATATATTATTAGAAGATATAGTTGTTGTTGTTGTTATAATTATTAGAAGATATAGTTGTTGTTATAATTATTAGAAGAATAGGGAAATTATTAGAAAGGAATTAGAAGAAGGTTGTTAAATTATTAGAAATATAGAAAGAATCAGATTATGCTATTCAAAATATACTACACTTTGATCTTAGACAAAAGGCAGAGTTAATCATGACAACCAGGATAAAATTATTAGAAGCCATTTTTATTAGATGTACAGTTGTCGAACGACATTAAAACAAGTTGTTGCACTCTTAGAAAAATTGTTATAATTACCATAAATAAAATAACATCGAAGATTATTTTAAATTATTATTATTAAAATTAGAAAATGTTCTTAAGACGTTGGGATATGGCTGATAGTCTATAATTTTGGAAAGTTGTTGTTGTTTCACTAGAAATATTTCTTGTTATTTATATTCGGACTCTTGTCCTTATAATTTTAGAAGATATAGTTCTTATCCCAAAATTCATAGTTGAAGATTAGTTTTGTCGTTTTTGAAGATATAGTTGTTCATCAGGTGTGTATATCGATCTCTTAGAAGATATACCTATAATTATTAGAAAATTCAAACTGAACCCTTTATTTAATCTATGTTTATTGGTTATAATTATTATTAGAAGATATAGTTGTTGTTATAATTTTATATAGTTGTTCTTGTTTAAACATTGATAATTATTAGAAGATATAGTTCCATAATTGAACATATAGTTTTGTTGGAACATATAGTTTTATAATTATTAGAAGATACTAAATTCCCAGAAGATATAGTTGTTGTTATAATTATTAGAAGATATAGTTGTTGTTGTAACCCTATAATTATTAGGGGATTTCCCGGGCCATGTACAGTTGTTATCATTATTATAAAAAAAAATATTTAGAAGATATAGTTGTTGTTGTTATAATTATTAGAAGATATAGTTGTTGTTATGTTTATTAGAAGATATAGTTTCATCAATAATTTCCCATATAGTTGTTATAAAGTAGTTGTTGATATATTATTAGAAGATATAGTTGTTGTTAATTATTAGAAGATATAGTTGTTATAATTATTAGAAGATATAGTTGTTATAATTATTAGAAGATATTATTATTAGAAGATATAGTTGTTGTTGTTATAATTATTAGAAGATATAGTTGTTGTTGTTATAATTATTAGAATATATTGTTGTTAGAATTAGAAGATATTGTTGTTGTTGTTGTTATAATTATTAGAAGATATAGTTGTTGTTATTGTTATTAGAAGATATAGTTGTTGTAATTATTAGAAGATATGTTGTTAGAAGATTATAGTTGTTGTTGTTATAATTATTAGAATAATTATTAGATATAGTTGTTTGTTGTTATAATTATTAGAAGATATAGTTAGTTGTTGTTGTTATAATTATTAGAAGATATAGTTGTTGTTATAATTATTAGAAGATATAGTTGTTGTAATTATTAATTATTAGTTAAGATATAGTTGTTGTTGTAATTAGAAGATTGTTGTTATAATTATTAGAAGATATAGTTGTTGTTGTTATTATAATTATTAGAAGATATAGTTGTTATAATTATTAGAAGATTAGTTATAATTATTAGAAGATATAGTTGTTGTTGTTATAATTATTAGAAGATATAGTTGTTGTTGTTATAATTATTAGAAGATATAGTTGTTGTTATTAGATATAGTTGTTGTTGTTATAATTATTAGAAGATATAGTTGTTATAATTATTAGAAGATATAGTTGTTGTTGTTATAATTATTAGAAGATATAGTTGTTGTTGTTATAATTATTAGAAGATATAGTTGTTGTTATAATTATTAGAAGATATAGTTGTTGTTGTTGTTATAATTATTAGAAGATATAGTTGTTGTTATAATTATTAGAAGATATAGTTGTTATAATTATTAGAAGATATAGTTGTTGTTGTTATAATTATTAGAAGATATAGTTGTTGTTGTTATAATTATTAGAAGATATAGTTGTTGTTAATTATTATATAGTTGTTATAATTATTAGAAGATATGTTATTATTAGAAGATATATTGTTGTTGTTATAATTATTAGTATAGTTGTTGTTGTTATAATTATTAGAAGATATAGTTGTTGTTATAATTATTAGAAGATATAGTTGTTGTTGTTATAATTATTAGAAGATATAGTTGTTGTTGTTATAATTATTAGAAGATATAGTTGTTGTTATAATTATTAGAAGATATAGTTGTTGTTGTTATAATTATTAGAAGATATAGTTGTTGTTGTTATAATTATTAGAAGATATAGTTGTTGTTGTTATAATTATTAGAAGATATAGTTGTTGTTATAATTATTAGAAGATTATTATAATTATTAGAAGATATAGTTGTTATAATTATTAGTATAGTTGTTATAATTATTAGAAGATATAGTTGTTGTTGTTATAATTATTAGAAGATATAGTTGTTGTTGTTATAATTATTAGAAGATATAGTTGTTGTTGTTATAATTATTAGAAGATATAGTTGTTGTTGTTATAATTATTAGAAGATATAGTTGTTGTTGTTAATTATTAGAAGATATAGTTGTTGTTGTTATAATTATTAGAAGATATAGTTGTTGTTGTAATTATTAGAAGATATAGTTGTTGTTGTTATAATTATTAGAATATAGTTGTTGTTATAATTATTAGAGAAGATATATTGTTGTTGTTGTTATAATTATTAGAAGATATAGTTGTTGTTGTTGTTATTAGAAGATATAGTTGTTGTTGTTGTTGTTATAATTATTAGAAGATATAGTTGTTGTTGTTGTTATAATTATTAGAAGATATAGTTGTTGTTGTTATAATTATTAGAAGATATAGTTGTTGTTGTTGTTGTTATAATTATTACTATTATTACTATTATTATTATTTCTGTTTTTATTTCTGAGAGGAGTACTGGCTAATAATCTATAATTTTGGGAAATAAAAATTTTCATGAAATATTTACACGATTTACATTCAGATTATTGTCCTCATCTTTGTTGTTGTTATCACAGCGTTTCGGTCGTTGTAACCCCCAGCCTTCATCAGGTGTATATCGATCTGGGTATCCTACAGGGAATTCATCAGTTGTCTATTGAAGAAGGCAACCTACGGGGAATTCTGAACTGAACGCTTTATTTAATCTTCAGGGGTCATGTCTAGGGATATCTTGTTTAGTTCTTATTTTTTAGTACTGCTCAGAATTATTGCTTGCTATCTTTCTACTGAGTTCATGTAGACACTGCCTGGCCGAGAAATTGAACCCACAATTCATGAACTAATATTTTTAGCCCAGTAGTCCCATAGAAGTTCAGTAGCGGAATAAAGTGTACTGTGTGCTGTGTGTGTGTGTGTGCTTGTTATTAATTTCTCAATGTATCAAGGATGCAAAATCCTTGCTGTAATCACTCGAGCAAGCAGCGAACCAGGTAGATCTCTATTGCAACGTAAGACAGAATATATCACAACCTCCTCTGAACCATTCGAGTTGAAGTCACTCAATAATACATCCATCAAAAGAGTTGATGACTTCAAATATCTTGGATCTCACATAATAGATTCCCCAAAAGACTTCAATATCCGCAAAGTTTTTGCATGGGATGCGTGTAACAAACTTCACAAGATTTGGCGCTCGAACCTTCCACCCTCCTT